ACGTACAGGAGCCGCATAAAAATATGAGACCCAAAGGCAAGTCAGGCTTCTCTGCCTTCCTGAGCTAAGGAATGGGGTAGGGGTCTGGGGCTTCCAAGCAGGGGAGGGTAATTCGCAGGACAACAGGAAGAACAGATGTTCGGTAATTACAGATTGGCTCTGTCCTACAGATAAGTCAGTCATTCAGATAAAAGTTATTTCTGGTATAGCTTTCTCTCTGAGGCAGGCCCCCTCTTCTAAATTCTTTTAGGTAGTGAAGGGAGAGATCAAAGTTTTTCTTGACTCTGCTGGATCTTGATTGCCTTTAGCTTAAAATAATCCACATGCCAAAGTGGTAGATTTTAGAGTCATGTATTCTGTGCCCCTTCAAGCTTTTTATAATTTATTGGTATAATGTTAAACAATAGCAACTCTTTGTATCTGAGATGTTTGCCACAGAGCTAGTGTTAAGGCAAAAATTAACAGGTTTTTACAGATCCTGAGAAGGGCTGGAAAGTATAATATAACATCTTCATTTAAACCAGCAGAATTTAAGGTTAAGATAGTACCATCTGAGTGGTTTTCCTCCTCCAGCTTGCTGTCTACCTCCCAAACTGAGCATTCTTATTTTGCACCCCGGTCTAGCACTGGAGGATAAGGAACACACAGGAAAAAAAAGGGCGGGGGGAGGGTGAGGGTTGAGTGGAGGCAGAAAAATATTTTAAAAATTTTATTAGGGCAGGTAGTATTTATTGATCATTGTGTTATATATATCAGTTATCCACTGACACAATAATTCTGTGTCAACAAAGTCAGTGGCTTAAAATAATGAGCATTTATTTAACACTCAAGATTACGGTGGGTGATTCAGAGTAGCTGGTTGTCCTTGTCTCAGCCAGACCTTATATGGGATTTGATGACTGAGAAGCTGTGGAGGTGAACTTCAGGAAGTCACATGCAGCTCTGAATATTTGAACACAATCAACTGAGAAGGTGGATGTTAATAGAAAATTTGATGTCAGAAAAACAGAGAGTATTGGGTGTGGAGGAGCACAGGTTAGGGAATCTAATTTGGATAATCTTGATCTGTTGTTTGACTAAAATCAGAAATTGTTAAAAATGCAGAGTTTGACAATGCCAACACCCCAAACTAATGTTAAAATATTTTTTTAATGTGCAACTGCAAATTATGAAGGGTCCACTCAAGTGTGTGGGGGATATTGATCAACTAACATTTGCTTCCTCCTAATCCCTTAACATTTCTTTTTAAAATTTTCCGGTTTCTCTCTGTTTTTCTTCACTTGTCATTTATGATGTCATCCGTTGGTGAGAACATCCAAGAATCACAACATTTTAGACCTGAAACCATTGAGTCCAACTCCATTGATAAAAGAAGAAAACAGAACTCTTATAGACTTGTTACAAGCCATAAAACCAATGATGTGGAAGCACAGGAATAGAACCCTTGGCTCCTATTCTAGTGGGTTCCTCAGTGCTTTGGTTTGGTTGTTGGAATGTTCTCTGGCTTCACAGGGAAAACAGTGGAGACTTTGCCTGAAATTGAAAATTACCAGTGATGGCATTTGCATAATGCCTTGTTTAAAAGGCACATATAGGGGCGCCTGGGTGGCTCAGTCAGTTAAGTGTCTGCCTTCGGCTCAGGTCATGATCCCGGGGTCCTGGGATCGAGCCCCACATTCGAGCTCTCTGCTTGGAGGGGAACCTTCTCCTCCCGCACCCCCTCTTTGTGCTGTCTCTCTCTCTCTCTGTCAAATAAATAAATTTAAAAAAATTAAAAGCTAAAAGGCACTTATAGATACTTTAGCTTGTGATTGAAATGAATAGCTGAGAGAGAATAGCTAAATATTCTAGTTTTTTGGTCTCTTCCTTTGTAAAAAAGGAATTCTATTTTTCCACATGGAATTGTTATAAGTGGTTAATAACTACAATTTAATTACTTAGATTTGTGTCTGGCACATATTAATTATTTGGTATTTTTATTCTGTTTGTTAATAATAAGAATGTTTTTGTTGTTCAGTTCTACCTTACAGACTATACATATTCCACTAATTTTAATATGAGTTGGGGAGGAGGAAGGGATACAGACAATTCAGCCTTGCAGTGCTTCCTGTGTGAGCTTAGGAATCTCAGCCTCTAACCTAGTGTTTACCAAAACAGGGGCCATATAATTTTGACTTATTTTCTCTTTTAATATTGGTCAACAACTAGAAATAGAAATCTTGAAAGAGGTCATTTTTCAACCACTGCTCTCTGTATCATTTTAGGCTTTCATGGCTTTGGGATGCTACATTTTAAGAACAAATTATTTGGCGTCTGAAGGAGCTTAACTTCTTGAGGAAATGGAATTTGTTGTGGAGGAAGAATTTCTAAACAAAGGGATACTTTGTAAATATCACTCCCTGAAATAACCCTCATAGTAAGCTTTCAGTGAAACATAATGCAGACTTTAGGAATTTACCTAAGTTTAACATTGAACAAAATCCTAAACCCTTGGTTTGTTGTTCTATAGAGAGGACACCACTTCTGATGTTTTCCACTGTGTTGAAATAAACCAGCAATGGAGGGAACCTGAGAAGTGAAGCTTCCAAAAGCAGACCAACTCAAGAAGCGCTTTTTCATTCCGACCTATTGCAATTTCAGGCCTCCCCAACACTTTTCCTTCCCACACTGCTATCCCCTTCCCGCTACCACTTATCTTGCTTCCTGGAAAGGAATAGCAGAAATATCCAGAGTTGATCTTTGTTGAGTCATCCTGAAAATGATAGTAATAGAGGAGGCAGAGCCGAGGGAAGCCACTTAGCAGTGCTTTAACCTTTTGGGAATCATAGATCCAGTTCACACTGAAGGTCAGAGCTAAGCATTTTGCTTCAGAGATATACACAGATATATACATAAAATCTTGTGTACTGATTCAGGAAGTGATGCCTCTTTTGGGACATTAGTGATGCACCTGCGTTGTGAGAGCTGACAGTATCCCTGGCCTTCCTCCTTGTCAAGCTTGAGAGCTAAGGAATGCTTTAAGAGCAGTGCTTGGGGATGGATCCAGTCCAGATTTTGCTAAAAGCAGACTCCTGTGTTTTTGAGCTCACCTCATTTTCTCCACTCATTAGAAACTCTGAAAGGTAGGGGCGCCTGGGTGGCTCAGTCATTAAGCGTCTGCCTTCGGCTCAGGTCATGATCCCAGGGTCCTGGGATCGAGCCCTGCATCAGGCTCCCTGCTCGGCGGGAAGCCTGCTTCTCCCTCTCCCACTCCCCCTGCTTGTGTTCCTGCTCTCACTGTCTCTGTCTCTGTCAAATAAATAAATAAAATCTTTAAAAAAAAAAAAAAAGAAACTCTGAAAGGTCAGATCCACAGCTGTTTATGAACCAGGAAGAGGAAAAGGGAGGCAAGAAGAGAAACCTGCCTCTGAGTGACATTGTTGCCTCCTTACAGTGCCATTTGGACACATTTAATTGTTGCAAAACAGAGCAACCATATATATTTTAAAAGCAGTCATCAAGATGGACGCTTCTTTGTGGTATGAACCCACTGAGGCCTTACACAGGGATCTCTCTCCAGTAAAATACTCCCATTGTGTAAAGGGACCTCATTCAAGTGCAAATTTTAAGAGATTCCTGAAGAAATCCTTTGAGGAGAAATTAAATTGAATAGAGTAAAAGAAGAAAATGGAAAAGGGTAGGGAAAATAAGGATGAGATGGCAAATGCTTGCTGCATTACATGATTCAATTTGATTTGTTTCCTTCACTTTGTAGTTTAAAACACAGAAGTTTGCATGTAGGTGAAAATGACGTGCTTTAGGTTTTTGCGTGGAGTTGTTAATAGCTTTCTCTTGCTTCTCTTTCATTGTCTTTATTTTTAAAAAATTATTTACATATTTATTTGAGAGAGAGAGTGAGAGAGAGCATGAGTGGGGTGAGGGGCAGAGGGAGAAGCAGACTCCCTACTGAGCAGGGGGCCCAAGGAACCCCGGGACTCCCGGATCATGACCTGAGCCAAAGGCAGATGCTTAACCAACTAAGCCACCAGGCACCCCCATTGTCTTTATTAAAGCCATGTGCCTCATATGCAGAAATATGGGGCTCCTAGTTTGTACAAGTGAGTGAGCTGTGGCAGACACAGCATCCACATAAGTTCCTGCCCCTCTAGAAGTTGACATTCTTGTAACCTAGTTTGGTTCCTGAGGCCATAGGCAGGTGAGAAAATTGCCCACTGCATATTGGTGAGCTCTGATCCCACCAATGATGCTTACTAACTTTGTTAGCTTGGGTAAATTTCTTAACCTTGGGTGACTTGGATCCTTTATTTTTTCAGGGGTAAGATATTTGTGAGATAGGGCACCTGGGTGGCTCAGTGGGTTAAGTGTCTGAATCTTGATTTCAGTTCAGATCATCATCTCAGGGTCATGGGATCGCGCCCCATTTTGAGCTCTGTGCTCAACTGGGAGTCTGTTTGGGATTCTCTCCCTCTGCCCCCCTCCTCTCTAAAATAAAGAAAGAAATCTTTTTAAAAAAGATATTTGAGATATTTTGTAGATTGAAGACATAGTACCTCTCAAATTAAATACAGTAGGTAAACTCTTACTTTGCTTCTGATCATCTCTTTGACCAGTGTAACCATACAGTTGCCAGAAGGCCTGGGTTATTTGGTGTAGATGGGGTAGTAATATTCATAGCTAAGAGTGCTAGATCCTACTCCATATATTATTTCATTTTTTTCTCACAGTGTTTCTGTGGAGTAGGTCCTACTATTATCCCCCCTTTTTTTTTGTAAGTGAGAAAAATAGATGGGCAAAGAAGTTAAGAAACTTGCCCCTGGCCTTCCAGACAGGAAGCAGCTGGGGGACTAAAACCCAGGTGGTCTGGCTCCAGGAGCCATGCTCTTAGCTCTGATCCTTTCTAGCCTTTTTTCGAGCTACAGCTATTCACAGTAAATGGAGAACATTATGTGTGGTGGACTCTAACACTTATTTAAGATTTTTTTCTCTCTCTCCTATTTCAGGTATCTGACAGCAAGGAACAGTAGAAATTTCCTGCTTACCATGAGGCCATTCTTAAAAAGGGCCACTTTGGTCATAAGTTATGTAAGTATATATATGCTTCTGAAATATCTGAAGGAATATTTTACTTTTACTTGGCTCAGAGACATGATCCAGATTATTCAATAGAATCAGCAGTAGATTCTAACAACACAATCTTAGGATCAAAGAGTTTACATGCCGTGAATGTTAACAAAGCTTTGGAAGGTATGTATGAAAGCCTTCTAGGAGTATGAACTCTGTGGCACAGACAGTGTCAACTATAATATTTTATAATTTTTTTTTTTTTTAAAGATTCTATCTATTTGAGACAGAGAGAATGAGAGAGAGAGAGCACATGAGAGGGGGGAGGGTCAGAGGGAGAAGCAGGCCCCCCGCCGAGCAGGGAGCCCGATGCAGGACTCGATCCCGGGACTCCAGGATCACGACCCGAGCCGAAGGCAGTCGCCCAACCAACTGAGCCACCCAGGCGCCCTCAACTATAATATTTTATGAGTACCTTTCAAGGTGCTGATCCTGAGGTGTCTCAGCAGCACAAACCTAGCTATATCAGTTATGTGTTGCTGCACAGCAAACCACCCCCAAATGTGGTGGCTTAAAACAACCACCACATATATTTGCCCTGAATGCTTGAGTTGGGCAGCATCGAGCTAGGCGGTTCTAATGCTCCTCCTGATTTTTGACTGGGGTTACACAAGCAGCTTCCTGTAGCTGTCAGCTGGGCTCATTTGTCTGTCTGTGGCATCTCATTCCCTAGGGTCTCTCCCTGTGGCCACTCTAGCAGGGTAGCCAGGACTTCCTTAAAACATGGCCACTGGGTTCTAAAAGCATGAACCAGAAGTTGCAGGACCTCTCAAGGGGTAGGCCCAGAACTGACACAGTGTACCTGCTACCACTTTCTGTTGGTCATTGCAAGTCACAAGACCAGCTCAGTCTTAAGAGGAGGGGCAGTTGGCCTCCTTCTTGATGGGAAGAGGAGAATGCACATGCAAAGGGAGCCGGCATTCTTGGTCGCCATCTTTGGTGACTGGCACATTAATCACTTTCTTACATTGTTGGGTTCAGGAATTCCAGATTAGGAGACCGGTCTCTTATGCTGTTGCTGTTCCCCGTAAATTTGGAGAGGAAACTTATAAAGAGTGTTTGAATTGTAATGTCACCAATTAACGTGATTTTTTTTTCTTGACCCTAAAACATGTTTATGGAAGAAGAGTATGCAAAAACTGAATGAGGGTGGAGAGCCTTGACTGGACAATCTCAACAAAAGGGACAAAATATTTCTCTAAAGTATTCCCCAGTATCTTTGCATAGAATTAGGATGATTCATCACTGGTTTCAGAAGTGATTTATTTTCTTAGAATTGTATGGGAATGCAAGTAATTTAACATCATTGCTGTGATGAAAGTTGTCAATTATTAATCCTTCTGTTTTTTTAAAAATTTATTCTCAAAGCCCTTTCGACTATTTATCTTCCTATTCTTTTTTCTTATCACAGCCTTTTTCCTCTACATGGTATTTTAGGGAATTTATATTCTTTCGGGATACTTTTCCTATTACTTTCATAGTTGATATTTTCCATTATAATGTCTTTAAGAATTTAAATTCAGTTTGAGCAGGATGTTGTGTGAGCGTTAAGATGATTTTCAGTTGCTGCCTAGGCATTGTTTACTGTTGATAAGCCATTGGCTAACACCATACATTTATTTTCAGTTTTTGGATTTGAGGTTATTTATATAAAAGATACTTATAAAGGAAGTCTGTGATATTTATGGAGAAAAAATCCAGTCTTAACTATCTCCAAAATTAATCCTTTAGCTTTTTATTTAAGCAAAGGTTTCCCTCTGACTAATAAAAACAATGTAATTGGTCCTATTGAAATGAGAATCACCTGGAAGGCCTGTGTGGGTGAGCACCCTTATAAACAAAACTCATCCCCACAGAAATGTCTCTGTTTCTGGTTTTCTTATTCACCTTAGCAACAGGATAGCACCATTTAGTGATAGAAGTCCAGTGGGTGACACAAAAGCTGTTCCTGGGATTTGTTGAAATAACCCTTCATGAATGTTCTGCTTCAGGGCATTCAAGGGTGGGAACACTTCAAGTGTGTTTATTCAGAACACAGCAGTATTATTTATTGTACTTTAAATTAACTTTCATGGGGCTGTGTAAATGGAATGGTTAAGAATGTGGTTGGACAGTTACATGGGCTCACCTCCTGGATCTTGCAGTTTATTAGCTGTGGGGTTCTGGGTAAATTACCTCTAAGCCTCAGCTTTCTCATCTACCTCGGGCAGTGGGGGGGGGGGGGCTTGCTGTGAGGCCGCAGGTGAGATGGAAAAGTCCTTAGCACAGTGGATAACAGCTGGTAAATGCTTGATACTGATAGCTGTATTTAAGAATTTGCTTGTCTTTCCCTCAACACCTTCATTGTTTATGCTCGTCTCCCTACCCAGCTGTTTTCCATCTTGCCTCATCTTGAATGTTAGGATTTCATAGAAATGCTCACAATGAAACAAAACAAGACATTTTTAAAGCATCTGCAAGTGTCCTCCAGAAAGGTGGGGCTTATGCCCAACAAGCAATGATTTTCTTACCAAATTTTCTTTTCTTTGAAGGTGATTGTTGTTTTGTACTTCCGTCTGTGGATCATGGGAGGATCTATGCCCCTTTTTTCAGAGCAGGATAATCCAGCTTCATTTTCGCCTTACATTCTTACGAGGTCAGTAAATGTAATTTTTCTTTTTTAGCCTAACGTGGTATTTATTAGATTGTTTTAAAATTCTTAAATGATAGTTTGCCTTTGCATTTTAAGGAAAGGAGGGTTGTATTCTGTCCAGGGTATCGGAAAAAAGAAACTACTATTCGTACATTTGGAATTCTTCTCAACTGGTGGTACTGTTTTGCCAGGCTTATTGCTATTCTCATATTGGCATTTGCTTACCCAACAGGTATTTTACTGAGCACTTATTATCAATAATAAATACCTACTGAGTGGCAAGTGTTATAGAACAATGCACGGAGAAGTGTATAGAGGTTGACTGAGCATTAACACTATTTGTAAAATCAGTGAAGATGTTGAAAGTGGAAAACAGAAATGAACAATAATTTTTGCTAAGATACAGCTCATTATATCATACTATTTGTCCTTAGAGATTTAGAGATATTGGATCAAGTAGTGATGTCGATCAATGGATCTGGTTCATTGAGATGGTTTTTAGTTCCTTATCTGTTCCATCTGCTGTGATGTCCTGCTCAGGCTTTCAGATATAGTTATATTTGACCATTTTAATAACTTTTCTTCAGGCTATATTGTTGCAGGGCGCCTGGGTGGCTCAGTTGGTTAAGTGTCTACCTTTGGCTCAGGTCATGATCTCAGTGTCCTGGGATTGAGCCCTGCTTCGGGCTCCCTGCTCAGTGGGGAGTCTGCTTCTCCCTCTCTCTCTGCCTCCTACCCTCCCCCCCCGCCCCCCGCTCATGCTCTGTCTCTGTCTCTCAAATAAATACAACTGTTTTTTAAAAAAAGGATGTATTGTTCCTATTATGTTTAAATATTCAGATGCACTGTTCTTAAGTTTTTATAGTTTTACATATACTTTTTAGCATTTAATATCATTTTCATAATAGTATCCTTCACTTTTTTGTGTTTGCAGACATAATAAATCTTAAATTAAACCTTGTTCTACTGCCCATTTTTATTTTGTATCTCTTAAGGACAACACATTGTTGGATTTTTGTTTCTATGCCAGGCAGTGATCTTTGCTTTATTTGACTCATTTATTTTATGTTTTAACTGCTACATTTCTATTTTCTTTGCCTTGTATGTTTTTCTTTATTGTTCCTAGTCTTTTCTTCCTTTTTTTTTTAAAGGCAATTTCCCTTTCAAAAAAGATAACTTCAAATTTGATTAACCCATTTCTACAAAAATATCATGGCACAATTGTTTGCATTACTTCTGACATATATTTCTATTAAAGAATCTTGACTGTGCCTTCAGAAATCATATGATATCCAGCCTCTAGTGTTGACTTATCTTTTCGAGGTACGCTAGACACTTATAAATTGTTTGTATCTTATATTTTTCAAAATGTTGTTGGATTAATCATGACATCTCTAACCCAGCTTTTTGTTAATGTTGCAACCTACTTGTCCTTTTTGGGTAGCTCTCACTGGCTTTCGAAATTTCCAGGATCCTTGTCTGGATATTTTTAGCTCATTGATAAATTGTTTCAGGTTCTGTAGCTCCTTAAATAGCTACATTCACCTCCAGAACAGACTGTTCTGAACTCACCAACTAGTGATTTCATTCATATCTCTGTCATCAGTAAACAAGTGCCTTCCCCGTGGTCCTCACTGCCCTCCTATCTGCCAGGGGTGTTCAGTTGCATTTTTATCTCTACTGGTGGCACAAAAAATTCTTTGGTGTAACCTCTGGCAAAATTAGTACCTTGGACCAGTCATTCGCCAGGTTCTGCCTTTCACTTCCAAGGCATATATACCCTTTTTCAGAGGGGTCTGAAACACATTTCATCTAGGACTTTCTGTCTGTGAATCCATCTAAGTGACTATTCTCAGGTAATTTAATCAGTATAAAGTGATAGAACACAACATCCTAACACCTTTATATTCTTCCCTTTTTTTCTTTTAAAAAAACATAGCTTTCCCTGGGGCTCCTGGGTGGCGCAGTCAGTTAACCGCCCAACTCTTATTTCTGGCTCAGGTCGTGACCTCAAGGTCCTGAGATCGAGCCTCGCGGTGGGCTCCCTGCTCCTCCCTGCTCCTCCCCCCATCCCCCAAAACCATATCTTTCTATTTCTGTGTTTCGTGCTTAAAATATGTAGATACCCAGGGACATTTCAATGACAGTTGCTGTAAATGGCTTTTCACATTCCTGTAAGATAGCTGCATTATAATTGACTCTTTGAGCATCCAGAAAATTGTCTTTAATTCCTTTCTGAAGTAAGGTTTCTACTCTGCTTGCATAATTATTTGACCTCTGGTAGACTGATGATTCTCAAATTGGATTACCTTGGTCTGTCTCCTAGTTGTGTTGGTTTTCTTTCCTTCTCATCAGCAATGCAATTTAGCTATGATTTGGCTGGCTCCGGGAGCCCGTCACTACTAATCACAGGTTTGTCATCCAGCTGTGTCAGTCTGCCTCACTGATGCTCCACCTCTTTTATTGGGTTTCTAAACTCCGAACAACTTTTATAGCATCTTTGCTTCTATCTTGCAAGTATTACATCTTTTTTTAAAGTCGATATAATAGGGCGCCTGGGTGGCTCAGTTGGTTAAGCGACTGCCTTCGGCTCAGGTCATGATCCTGGAGTCCCAGGATCGAGTCCCGCATCGGGCTCCCTGCTCAGCAGGGGGTCTGTTTCTCCCTCTGACCCTCTTCCCTCTCGTGCTCTCTGTCTCTCATTCTCTCTCTCTCAAATAAATAAATAAAATCTTTAAAAAAAAAAAAAATCTCTAAAGTCGATATAATAACTTACTCTATTTTCAGATGAGAATTTTCAGACTAGCTTTCTCTTTCTTTAATAATTGCTGTAGTTATTACTATATTGCAATAGTTATTATAGTTATTAATATAAAATATTGCTATAGTTATTACAGTTATTAACATGTAGTAAAAAAAAAAATCCTAACAGTTTTAAGAGAAAAGGTTTTCCTTTGTTTCATTCAGATGATTCCTTGTGGCTTTAGTTCTGAGATTCCTTCACCTGTAGATTATCTGTTTCCATGTGGTTAGCTAGGAAGAAATACCCTGTCATTTTCTATTTACCAACACTGGGATGCAAAATCATTGTGGCTTGCTTATAAGAATCCTTCGTTAAGAAAAATTATCAGGGCGCCTGGGTGGCTCAGTTGGTTGGGCGACTGCCTTCGGCTCGGGTCATGATCCTGGAGTCCCGGGATCGAGTCCCACGTCGGGCTCCCTGTTCGGCAGGGAGTCTGCTTCTCCCTCTGACCATAACCCCTCTCATGTGCTCTCTCTCATTCTCTCTCTCTCAAATAAAGAAAAAAAAAAAAAGAAAAAAAAAAAGAAAAATTATCAAAGACATGGGAATAAGACAACAGATGACTGTGTGACATTTAGTCTAATGTAGGGCATTGTCTAACAAACCTAGAAGAATACGACTTTGACTTATTTACATCTGCGCTACTGTATTTTACAACTGTGTCAACTTAGAACTTAACATATAGAACAGGATAGGTGTGAACATTTCTTATTCTCTGTAGTAGGAAATAAGCCTTCAAATGTTACAGTTTTATTGCCTTGTGGGCAATAAATTGAACAAATCTGTGTTTAATTTACCAATCTCATTCCTTTTTATTATTTCATGAACTATATAACCCTAGTTTTTCATATTTAATTCGAGTATATTGATATATGTATACATTTATATATATGTATTTATTCTATTTATATATATCTAAGTAACAGTTTAATAGACCTACTGTACAATTCACCTACTTAAAGTATACAATCCAGTAGTTTTCTCTATACTTAAAGAATTGTGCAACCATCATCACAGTCAATTTTAGAACATTTTCATCTCCCCGAAGAGAACTCTTATATCCATTAGCATTTACTCCCCATTTTACCTCAGTACCCCCACTCCTAGATAACCATTGATCTACTTTTTGCCTCTGTTGAGTTACCGATTCTGGACATGTCAGATCAATGGACTCAAATAATATGTGGTCTTTTATGACTGGCTCCTTTCACTTAGCATAATGTGCTCAAGATTCATCCATGTTATAGCCTGTATTCATACTCCATTCTTTTTTCAGTAATATGCCATTGTATGGGTGTACCACTTTTTACTTTTCCTTTCCTCTGTTGATGGCTGTTCCAAGTAACACTGCTATGAACATTCATGGATAAGTTTTTGTTTAAATGTATGTTTTCATTTCTGTTGCACATGTACATCGGAGTGCATTTGCCAGGTCATAGATGTTAACTTCGTATTTAACTTTGTGAGGAACTGCTAGACTATTTACCAAGGTAGCTGCTCCATTTTACATTTACATTTACATTCACAGCAGTATTTGAGGGTCCAGTTTCTCCGCATCCTCACCAACACTTGTCTTTTTTGACAATCTTTCTGTTGTTTTAATTACAGCCATACGAGTGGGTATAAAATGGTATCTCAGTATGGTTTTGATTCGCATTTCCCTAATGGCTAATGATGGTTAACATCTTTTCATCTGCATATTGGCTACTTCTTTATCTTCTTCAGAGAAATGTCTATTCAGATTCCTTGACCAGTTTTTAATTATTTTTATTATTGAGGGGTTTTATTATTTTATTATTGAGTTGTAATAGTTCTCTGTATATTCTAGCTACACGTTGTTTATCAGATAACATGATTTATAAACATTTCCAACCTTTCTGTGGGTTGTTGTTTCCCATTCTTGATGGTGTCCTTTTGAGCACAAGTGTTTTTAAATTTGATGAAATCCAACTTATCTATTTTGTTGTTGTTGCTTGAGCTTATATCTAAGAAGGCTTTGCCTAACTCAAATTTTCTTTTAAACTGGCTTTTTCAAGTGTCTGGTTGCCTTATTAAACAGTTATATAAACCTTTATTTTCACTGTGTATTTGTATGAGGATTAAACTTTTAGTATTTTTAAAATTGTACTTTGTTACAGTTTATGTTAACAGTAATTTGGAAGCCATTTAGAATTTGATTTCTTATACTTGATCACTGGGC